CACTCTTAAACGATGAGAACATAATCAGTGTGACTCGTCTTTATTAAATTTTCCATAGCATTATTTAACATGACACATGTTAATGAGAAAAATTATGCAAATTTCTTGAGTTTTCAAAAAAAAATAAAAAAGTTCTCGCAGAGCTTCAAGTAAAGTGAAATACTTGATGATTTACGCAGAGGTATTGTCTTTTGCTCTGGTATATAAAACTTCTGGGTATTGCAATAGTTTAAGAGAAATACCGAGATTTTACTGGTCACCATTTGCAAACTGATCGTTTTACTGACTTATGATAATGCTACAATTCATGAGGATTGGTTACATTTCCCCAGTGCTTTTGAAAGAAATTGCAAGAAAAGCTTCCTAATAGGAGATTCTAACCTTCTCTTTACATTGTTATGTTTCCACGGGATTATATCTGCCATAAAACTGTCCAAAAGTGCACATTCCATTGCCGTTCAGAAAGACTGAGTGGTGCGATAAAACACAGGCTGCGACTTATTTCTCAGATTTGGTGCTGTTGAAAAGGCCAGTACTCTAATGCCCATTTTGATATTTAAATTGACAATGGTTATCATTTTCTGGACATAAACATTACGACAGAAGGGCCACATCAACCACAACTCTTTCTTCCGCCATATTGCTTATGCGCCTGCAATGAAAAACTGACCTGCGGTAATATAGGCCATTGTGTAATCAACGGGAAGTGTTCTTTTGCTTAGTGCTTTAGAAAATGGTTTGCTTTGATGCCATTTACAAATTTCGTATTTTTGCTTTGTCTGGCAAAGGGTAAGCTCTTTTTGTAAATTTATTTTATAGCCTTATAAGGTGATATAATGAGCTGTAAGTTGTATACAATGTATAAGAGCCAACACATCTTCCAATATGACATAACTTAGAAAGAAATAGATCCCGGTTGTTCAAACGTTGGATAGTGCTATCCACCTGATAAAAATCTATCCACTGGATAACGCAATTGGTTTCCCTAGTACTTATCTGCTGGATAGTGATTTATCTGGTAGATAGTACTTACCAACGTTTGAACAACCGGGTCCTGAAAATTGGTTGCAGAGCCCCGTGTGCGGAGATGGGACAAATTTTAAGTTTACAACAAAAAGTTTTCATTAATAAAAAAATGTGTTGTCATTCTTATGAAGTGCACCTAGAGAGCGCGTGTTATAACAGGCATTGGTAACAGGTATCTCCTATCTAGCTGCTTATCGGCTCTGCCCCATCTTTTTCTCAACGGTTTTTAAGCTCCTTCTATAAGTCCACAACGTGAAAAACTTTCTCTCGCATGGACTCTCGTTCTCCTTTCTCAACAAGGGCATCGAGAATATCTTCTTCCTCTATTACAGTCTTCTTGTTTAAAGAAAGCTTTCCACTCTTAGCGACCGATGCGAGACGTGAAAAGTATGATGTAACTTGTTGAGCGCTGAGCCAGTCTTTAGAAGAAAACAATTTTACGCCATCTGGTCCACGAAGTGACCTCAAGTTTGAGGCAACAACGGCAGGGTCGCTCTTATTTCCTGTCTCTTCTCCATCAAGAAACAGTTTAAGGAGGTACTCTTTGACATGTTCTGAAAATCGCCCGGTCTTCTTGTTTTTCTTCAAGGCCCAGCCAGGCTCAGCAGTGGGGTACTCTCCGCACTCTTCTTGGCTCAATCCTTCAAGGTTCTTTTTGGATGGAATATATGAAGGGCATAGGTTGGTGCATGCGTTAGCCCATTTACGCTTAATACTGTCATGCGTGGAATCCTTTTGGGTGCAAAAAATGTGCTTGCCAAAGTCCTGGTGGTTTTGCAATGCTGTTGTCGTTTTGAATAACTTGATGCAGCCTGGTTGAGGGCAACTGAATTCACAAGGTTCACTTTTGTTTTCCGTCGTTTTGCTATTTTTGTACAAGAAGCCAGTCGACACACGCGGGGATGTGAAGGGCTCAACGACCTCCAATCGGGTACTTCCCTGGCTGGTGCCTTTCTTCATTAGCTTATTGTAACGAACGAACTTTCCCTCTCCAACATTAAAGGCTTTCCACATCCCGATTCTGTCTGCGCAAAACTTGAAGTTTGAAAACATCAGTACTCCGTTCCAGTTGTGATTATGCAGATCCTGTGCGCAAGTGTCCACCTTTACAACTGATGCACGGCAACCTCTAACTCTGGAGTAAGAATCTATTGCTTTCTTCGTATCTTTTGCCTTCTCGACATCATTTCCTGTATTGACGTACTGGTGTATATGACTTTTCAAAGGAGAAATATGGCGATCGCATATATCTTTACCACTGTTTGATTCACTGAAGTCGTATCGGCTTGTAGTTACACCTGTACGTTGACTAATACCAGGAATACTTAGCAATAAAAGAGCACAGTGATAACATCCAGCGTTATCACTACGTACAAACGCCTCGACAATCTCAGGTGACTTCCTCTTTATTTCCATAAGCGTGTTCTCAAAAATAGATGCAACAGCAAACCAGTTCTGGCTGTAGTGATCCAGCAGATGAACGTATGTCCTTACCTATACATATGAACATAAGAAATAATGTTACACTATCGGCTCCATGAGGTTAAATAAAGTACAACAGGAAAGCTCACTGACTTTCAAATACCTACTCTTCTGGTAATCCTATCTGTTGTCAACTTGTTGTTTCATCCCTTGACTATAACTATGCCTCGTATCTTCCTGCACTTCATAGCTAAAGATTTCAAGGAATTATTTCCTTAGTAGAATGTGCAAATAAAGTAATCAGTGTAAGCTTTTAACCTGTCACGCGGACACCAACCTACCTCCACTGTCAATACCTAATTTATACATTGCCTTTACCATATTTTGTACAGCAAGTGAATGTGGATAACTCTACTGTTACTCAGGGAATAAGATGAAAACTGAGCATTTCGTCTATTTAGGACACAAATTCAACTACTATAATATCTGAAACTGTAATGGTAGTTTAAGGAATATACCGTCAAACCTCCTGTAAACGGTTGCTCACGAGAATCAACACAGTGTCAACAGACAGGGATCTCTTCCGAGAAGAGATCCCTACAGGTGTCCTGTTAAAGATAAAATTTCGGCATGCAATTCCTACGTTTCGTATAAGTGTAGTTCCGTGTTGTCAAAAAAGGATTTGCGCATAATCCCACTGAGCGGCGTAGTACATACAGAGACAGACAAAGCATCATGCACCGTTTTGGATATGCCCATAGTCAGATGTGGAATATGCTTGTAGAAAATACCTCAAACTCTTCCTTCAGTTTTGTTATCACGGCTGTGACATGCCAAGAGACGCCTTTCTTTCCAAACCACTCTCCTTGCGTTTCCCTATACTTCAACGGAAGGAATTTCATAGCCCAATCCATGATAATTAAAGCTTGCTCTGGCGTTATATTGTTGAGGATATCATCCTTTGCTACGTCCTGGTGTACTGCTCTTAAGATGTGGGCCCTCCATCGCTCAATCTTGTCTATAGCGTTACTAATGTCATGCTCTAGTTCCTCCTTTTCGTCTTGATATCTAGAAATCAAAATAAAAAAGTTGATGGTTTCCTTCTGTTATCAAAGATGTAATTATAATTTCTTGACGTTTTAGGGCGACATCATTTGCTCGTCTTTGCACCGTATATTTTTCCTGATCCTTTGTTTAATGAAGTAAACGCGGCATTGTTTCCAAAGTTAAACAACTGTAGATTTCAGTCACCTGAGCCATCCGTTTCCAATTGAAAAAAAGGTGATTAAGATATGACAATTAGAAAACTTACTCTTCATGATCAGGTAAAATTACAATCTATATCTTTTCGTAATATCCTGTGAAGAATTTTTTTTACATGTGTAAAATGAAACGATCAACAATAAACTGAACAATATAAAATCTGTTAGGGGAGAAATCGGTCTTCTTTCTTTGGTTTTGACTGCAAGAAAGTTTAGGTTTTTGGTTTTGAAACATGGTATCAGTAATCGTTTACCTGAAGTGAAGGTCTCTTGATGACAATACCAGTTCTATTTCCTCAAGAATATTCTTGATATTGTCACAGCTTTGACATGATTTCATGTGTTCATGCTCACAGAGGTGATCTTCAGGGTCAGACAACGCAAATACCCGGCAGTGATCAGCACACTGGCTTTCTTCAGAAACGCGGATCTTGAAGTTTGTCTTAAGGTAGCTTTTACCAGCTTTCAAGCGATCTTGAACACCTTGAACCCAGGCTGAACTCTTACCTTTAAAAAGGCACGCTAATGTTACCACTCTTTTTTTTAATTACTACTATTTAAGATAAAGCCGCTCATATATGCTAAATTGCGTTAAGAGGCCAGGCCTTTGTTCAAATTGCACAGTATAAAATATATGCTTTTTAAAAAAATGGTTTCGACAAACCTTAAAAAAGAAATAAGAAGTCCAAAAATTAAATTGGCCTAGGAGGTTGGGTGGTTTGAGTGTTAACGGTTCACTGAAAAATAGCATTATATAGAAACAAAATGGGAAGATTCAGGTCTCCCGGGGACAAAACTTAAATCAACCTGAGCTTACCTAACTTTCCTAGCCTGTTTACAACGTCTTCGAGTGTATCGAAGGCTTGCGATCCCTCTGTAGCGATGTTGTCAAGTCCTGCCAAAGACTTCTTTTGTGATGCTGCACAAATCTATACAATAATGACATTTTGTTATATTTTTCTCCTGGTGTTCATATTTACTGCTTTTCTCATCCAGAGCGTTTGCTCTTTTCTAATCCCAACCTATATGCATGGCTAAAGAAATTTTCAGTTAATCAAGCTGAAGAAGTAGTTTAAACTAAGAAACATGACGCAATGCATATAATAATATCTTCGTGATATCTACATGAGATAACAGAATATAAAAAACCCCAATTTTTCTTTCTTTTTTCGCTCTTCTTCTGTTTTTGAATCATGATTTTGTTTTGATACGTACCTGTAAAATACTGAAGAGGGTAGACCTCCCATGTGAAAGGAAACCGGTTTCCTGACAGTACTGCTGGTATAAGTC